TAGAAGTCATGTGGAACCATAGAGCCTCCTCTCTTTTACTCTCACGAAAGGGGAAACAAAATTTGGTTTTAAAAAAAAATCTAATTATTTAATAGCCAAGAACTGGTTTTCTCATTGCAAATTTTGCATTCAAAATTGAACAGAGCATATCAAAGCCATATGAATTGTGGTCACTGCTCTGAAAACTGAAAAGTTTCTCGAATCGAGTACCCAACACCTACACTTAATTTCAAAAAAGAAATCATTTTTCCTACCATGTACCCTATGAAAGTCAACCGTGAAATGCAGCAGATATTGTTCACAATCAAGCGCTTCAATGTGGCTCACAAATGCATAAATCACAAAATCCAAATCAAACCATATAGATTCCTCATAAAATAATCAAGCCACACAAATTAAAATCGAGGAAGCTCATTTCATGACCAGACGTACCAAGCTATTACAGTTTATACACCTCCGGTTGTCCGGCAGCTTGAGTAGACTCCGAATAGCTCTCTCGTTCTTCTCGTCCTCCTTGAACCGGCTCGCCATATCCACGCCAATCAAAGCCCAATTCCGCTCAGCCCGCTGCCACAGAAGAACTGAAATTCAAAATTTAAAAAAAAAGCAGAATCACCCACCAAATGAACAGAAATATCCTCAGAGCTCGAGGTTTGGGAGCACCAGATCTGATTGCAGTTACAACTGGAGCAACCAAAGCTGGCAATGAATGAAAAGGCGGAGCAGAATCAGGGAATATGAAAAAAGTGTGAACGTGGAGACAAATGAATACTTGCGTGTAACGGAAATCCAAGCAGGGGATATGCGAAGCAGGGGAGAGAATTTGACAGAGTTCTACAGATCTTCGGTTTTGGATACGACGACGATTACAGCTCAGAGTGCTTTTCTCTAAAGAAATAGAGAGAGAGAGAGAGAGAGAGAGAGAGAGGGGGGGGGGGGAGAAAAGTATGGATTCATTGGGTCAGGCTACTAGAAACCACCGTTGAATTTGACCGACCCACCAGTCCTGCAAGGCGACTACAGCTTTGTGTCTTGAATTCTTGATCTTGGTGAACACATTTGGGCAAGACCACAAGTACATCAAGTCAAAAATAACTGCACACAAAAATATCTGTGTGTACACAGATATTTTAGACTTGGTGTACAGGTAGTGTATCTCAAGTGGAAATGGAAAAAACTTATTTCGAAAAATAAAGCACCTAGAGGAGGGGTACGGGTCCATGAGAGAGTGATGTTAAGGCAAGGAGCAATGTTCTGTAAATTGAATTGGGTGTCGAATTGAATAAATTACTGAGAGAAAGGTTTAATAGTCGAACTGATTGACTTAGGTCAACGACTTGGTCAATGATGCATATTTAATAATTAAAACATGTCTGGACTATACTATTCTTTATATTCAAAGTTGACTATATGGTCGCATATTCAAGCTTGATCCAAGACCCCCTTGGACCTGGAAGGCTCATTTATTGTAATTATTTTAATTCTTAATACTGCAAACTCCAGTGTCTTAGAGTATTATAAGACAAACCTTTTCAAGAGAAAATTATTTGAGCTTCGACGCTTCCCCCAACCACCATTCTAATGGCTGATTCACGTACTCCTCTTGCTCACGTATATTGCCTCACGCGATCAAGCAACCCACCCGTGCATGCCCTTAACAAGAACTTTCGTACATCTGGAAGACTAGAACCTCCACCATGATTGGTCCCACAAGAACCTTTGTACCGGTCAATAAATCTAGGACAAGCTTTATCTTCTCCCCAAATTTCATGACTTTCTTCCAAAATGAATTTTTATGGAACACCATATCGGTCATGTCGTACTCTATCTCACGTCATGTAAGGTTGGCGTAGGATTTTTGATGATTTGAAGTAATGTGTGGTCTATCTTTGATCATTCAAACCTTCTCATCAGTCTCTCAAACCAAGTTAGACCCCTCGAGCTTCACGTAATATCCCGTATTAGTATTAAATTAAAAAGAGCTCAAAATAACTGATAATACTATTCATACCAACAAGATGCATCTTATTTTCGATAACTAATCACCTAGATACTCCAAAGTCAAATGTGTCTGACTTGGAGTAATTTTACGATGGGTGACCAGAAATTCCATTGGCGTGTATGAATAAGGAAAAAATATATGCGGGAACAACTTATGTTAGTTTGTGTGGACAGTCTACAATCATATAAGTAGACACTTTCGGCTAGGGTGTTACAAATGGTATCACAGTAACCCTGTGACCTTGATGGGCCAACGGGCTTAATTCACCTAGCGGGGAAGATCTAGGAGTTTGAGAAGGGTGCAACAAGGATGTTGCGTTCCTACGTGAGGTGAATGTATTAATGCCTTGTGTTAACATGAAATTAAAAAAAGCTCCAAAGAATGATAAACTACTCATACCAATAATATGCATCTTTTTTTGAAAGTTCATCACCTAGAAATTCCAAAGTTAACGTATTTGACTTAGAGCAATTTTATGATGGGTTACCCTCTAGAAATTCCCTGGGCGTATGAGTGAGGAAAAAATTTTCAAGAAAGACATTTATTGTTTTATGGGACTAGTTTACAATATTATGAAAAGACATTTCCAGCTAGGTGAGGGTCAGAGTGTTATACTTCATCTCGCTCTACTCAGCGCAATAAAAGGGGTTCTCCATTGTCTCTCATACAATGCCTTGTACGGAGCCATCTGAATACTAGCTTAAAATTATTGTTGTAAGTGAATTCCAATAATGGCAAACATTACTCCCAACTACCACTAAAGTCAAAGCGCACTTCATATCATCTAGGATTTAATCACTCTAAGATAAACCATCTATATGAGGGTGTAATGTTGTACTCAGGTAAAGCATAGAGCCTACCTCATGTCTCCAATCGGCACTACCAAGCAATTTTAATATAATAAGGCTCCATCCTCACTCATGGTAAAGTAATGTCTTTCGTCCTTAGAAACAAGCTCACAAGTCTTCTATGTTACAAGAATATCACTTTTTAAAGTTGGCGATAGTCGGAGTCTGCTCTCAACTTCCAACTAAAACCATAACAATGTGGTAATCAATGCATTAGTCATAGTCCTTTATCACCTCTAGCCATCTTCTCTGTCTCAAGTTCAGTTCCTTTCGTGTGAGTAAATACTTTAAACTTTTGTAGGTTATGCAAATGATGCTCGCTCTCCAAATAGGTAATGACATTAAATCTTCAATGTAACGACTACTACCTTCTTTAGGTTTCAAGAGTCGTGATGCGTAGGCCACTCCCTAGTCTTAACCTCTCGCATTAACACTAATGATCGTGTAATCCACACCCAATATTGATCATGCCAACAATGGTGCCTATATATACGCATCTCTTCATCCATTTGAAGCTTTCTTGACAAGTTTCAATCCAGTAAGATCTAATACTTTTCCTCTGAATTTTATTCAATGGGGGAAGCTTTTGAAAAAACCCAAGCATGAACTAATGATAATTTTTATATAATCCGAGAAGACTCTTCCACTATCAAGTATTTCGTAAAGTCTTCCATTTTGTGATGCTAAAATCTTACTTGCATTCACATTGATGGCTTCATTTGAAATGTCAGGTCCCAAGAATGTCACTATTTCAACCAAAACTCACATTTTGATATCTTCGCATACAAGTACATATCAAACATAATTTGCAAGAGGTTCACGCGATCTTCTAGCTTTTCATGTAAACTAAGACGTCGTCAATGAATACCACTACAAACAGGTCTAAGTAAGACCAGAATACACTATTTATAAAATCCATGAATATCACTAATGCGTTAGTTAAAACATATGGTATTACCGTGAATTTCTAGTATTCATAACAAGTATGAAATTCAGTCTTTTAGATGTCTTCTTTCTTAACTTGGATTTTATGATATCATGATCGAAAGTCAAACTTGGAGAACATTGTTGCTCCTCTGAGCTGATCGAATATGATGTCAATGCATGGTAATGGGTAACAATTCTTAATGGTCACCTTGTTCATTTAGTGGTAATTAATGGGTATTATTTTTTATTTGTCAATGAAATTCTTTGATATCACTTAAATAGAGCATAGTGATGTGAAATATGGTATTAGTAACACTTATAATAAATGTTAATGTTGGTCAAAATAAACTATTAGCGACAGAAAAAATGTTTTACTCACACAAGCTTTTGTAGGTGATCCAACTTTTAACGACAGTTATAGTAAATGTTAATGTTGGTAAAAACAAGGTATTACCGACAGAAAAGAAGGATTACCCACATTATTTTTTGTTGGTAATCCATGTTTTAGTGACATATATGTTTTGTCGGTACTTCTCTCTTTTTTAGTGACATCTTTGGTCTTTCGCTATTATATTATTTTAGCAACAGTATATTTTATCTGTCGGTAATACTTTTACTGACGGAGTTTTTAGCGACAACGTAGTGACATACAATTATCTGTCGGTAAAAGCGAGTAGCGACATATATTCAACTTTTAGCGGCATATTGACCCCTGTCGGTATTGCCTCCTTTTTTGTAGTGCTAATTTTGATTTAGAACTTTTACTTTTTCAAAAAATCACTTCGTACGTTGGTCGAGTGACTTGAAGAGGCGAAAAGGCGCTTTGAGACCGTTTCGTAAAACTAAAGGGAAGGCGAATACCGATCAAAAGGTTTGGTATCCTTGTCCTACTCCTATTCTACTATTGTACGAAGCCCGGTTTCCAAAAAACATCCTCTTAGGTGTATAAAAATGCCTTCATTTTTTGGACAAATTTCTTTTGAGTAATGCTAAGGATACCTCTTTGTGGTATATCCATTTGCACATCAAAGCATTCACAGATAAACACCGATACTTAATATCTGTACAATAGACCAATATTGAATGTGTACACCCCCTAGAGTACCCATAATATTCTCCATTTTTTAATGTCTCATTTACCCGATTATGTGGCACCCATCAAGCCGGTCAAGCCTCCTATCCACTCATAAGTCATAAGTTCATAACACACAAGAATGTATAGTCAAATCTCCTTCACAACTGGATGTCCTAGTGATTTTTTTTTCCATCAAGACTCTCTTTCTCTCGCTACCAGCTCGAAAATGGCGAAACCGCTTGTCTTCTACTTCATCGCTGTTGCTCTCTTCATCAATCTGTCCCACGCCAACAAGGATCCCGAGCCGAATTCAAGTCCATCTTTAGCCCACGACGAGCTAATCAAGTACGGATTTCCCATAGGACTCCTCCCTACAAACGTCCTAGGGCACACTCTCAACCAGACCTCCGGCGACTTCGCGGTTTTCATCGGAGACAAGTGCCGCATCACCCTCCCTCCGGACAACTACCTGGCAACTTATTCGAAGAAAATCACCGGTAAGATTGTCCAGAATCGCATCTCCGAGCTCGACGGGATTAGCGTTAGGGCTTTCTTCAAGTGGTGGGGCATTACCGGAATCAGATCCAGCGGCGAGAACTTGGTATTCGAGGTTGGAATGGTCACCGCCAAATACCCGTCTAAGAATTTCTACGAGAGCCCTGAGTGCGAGGGCAAGCACTCCTCTTCTTGAGGGTAAGTGATGTCTTTTATTTTATCTGTTTCGTTTTTAATCTTCTCTAACCCGCTTTTACCTGTTAATATTTTTGACTTTGATCACTAATTTACTTGTTTACTTCATGCTTTATATAGCTTATAATAATGAACTGTGTTATTGTAGGGTGCTATACTGCTGTGTATCTTATTCTTATCCTTATTGCTCTGTATATGACAGTGACTTAATTTTATGCTTACCTTTAATTATTAAACTATGTTAAAGGTTTGAACTTTTTTTTCTTGTAATTTTAAAAATAGTACGATAAGTTTTTTTCTTTATATATATATGGGTAATATATATATGGGTAATTTTAAAGATAGTACGAAAATTTATGTATTTATTTTTTTGCCCTTAGTTTGCTCTTTGCTTCTTCTTTGTTCGTGCTCTATGTCTTCTTTGTTGATCGAGCTGGGGTTTCGTGTAAACAACCTCTCTACCTCTCAAGTAGGGGTAAGGTATGCGTACACTTACCCTCCCCCCACCCTACTTTTTGTGGTATTCTACTGGGTTTGTTGTTGTAGGGCTGAAACTTCTATTTTCTTGTAGGATCTATGTCTACGATGCTTATATTAAAAGTTAGTAGAATCTCCCTAAATATATTCATTATTGATTAGGATTATAACCTATTACAGAGTATTATGCAACCATTCCTTGTTAGAGACACCAATCGATCAACCTTACATTAATTAGTATCATTGAAGCTGTTCAATGATTTATAATGGGGTTTAAAACTTCCAAATGTGGATCCCTAGCAAAAGAATATAATGATTGCCACATTTTTTTTGACAAATAAGAAATTAAGAATCAAAATCATGGTGCTTTAGGGAGCTTAGAAACGAATACAAGCCAGTATGTCTTCATAGATAAAGGACTAAGAAAAAAAGCCAAGGGAAAAAGATTAAAGTGAGAGTAAAACATTGAAAATATACCAAAATAGGAGTTCCATGTTTATTCTCGAAATAGGAGTTAAAATGAATTTACATTACCAAACATGGTCATGTACATTACGTAAAATGCATATGTGCGAACTCCTATTTAGGGAATAAAAACATAGAACTCCTATTTTGGTACTTTCTCTAAGTTTTAGTCTTATTTAGGATGATTTCTTAAAAAGTAAATAATGGATACAATGTGAATGCCACTAATCTAAGGAATGAATGATAATCAAGTTCATGGTACCCTATGGAGGTCGCCAATTAATATGGGATCTATAAATCTATATTGATTGAGTAAGGTCCAAGAAAAAATGTAAGCAATGGATACAATGTAAATAACATGTATATGTTGAAAGGACTAATTGAGCAACTCAAATAAGGGCAGTGATTAAATTAAACTCCATAAAGCTTAATCTTTCAAATATCCCCTTCAAGTCATAGGGCCTTAAAAAAACTAGCTAAAACAGAGCTCACATGAATTGCTCCTAACATAGGGGATGCACAGGTCTTGTGTCTCAGCTTTTGTCTGTGATTAACCTCTCCAAAAAAACCTTTTACAACAAGTTCACCTTTAGTTCTGCTCACCTTTTTATCTAAAGGAAGACAATGAAGGATTCTTTAAATAAAACTCCATTTGTCCCGAATTCCGCAATTGATGCATGCACACTTATTAATAAATGTGAAACTCAGTGGTTGAGTTTTGTGCTGTGGAGAGAAAAATTGTGTGCACTACACAATTCCTTCCTCAAAAGGAAAGAGGAACATTTTTTGGCACAAACAAAAAGAAAATGTGGAACTTTTTTACGGGACAACCGGACAAGACCCATGTTTGCAGTTGTGTTTTTCATATCATCCGGTTTGACTGTATTGTGTATTGTGTAATCCTCATCGTGGAGTGAGGCGTAAACCTTAATTTAATACCAGCATACATAAAATGATTACTCGTACTAATAATACGTCCTCTGTATTCGAATAGTTTTTTTTGAAGATACTCTGTATTCGAATAGTTGGTTCTATAGTGTTTTCATGAGTTTTCACGAGTTAAAAGCATGGGTGAGAAATGATAAAGTAAGAAAAGTAGAAAAGAGATAATGAAGAAGCAAAGGCATGTACCTTTTGATAAGCTCATATTTTCCAAAAGAGGAATTGAAACCAGTAATTAAAAACTTCCATACAAGAAAAGTGGAGCATTTATTGAAAATACATGGGGATTATAAATAATCACTTAAGGTAATACTCCGTCCATCCCGAAAAACATTATCCGGTTACTATTCACATGGTTTATCATTTTTCTTTTCCTATTTTGTTACTCCTTTAATAAAGTAATATAGTCATATAACCTCTTGTTTTTCTAGAATATTTAATTTAATTTTTACATGGATAATATTTTTTAAAATTCTATACCAATTATTGGATAAATCGAATGAAAAATAACTTCAATCAAACATGGTAAACCGTTATAAACATTGTAAACCGTTATGAGTAAGGTTTTTTAGGACATGAGTATAATACTTAATAACATATTCACTGGAGATAGAGAAAATTTATTGTCCAACCCAGCAACAACGAGGGCATACCATTGTCAAAAATTCAAAATTATAAGTTCACGCCATACTAGCCATAGTTGTCATGGTGTCGCCCCATCGTCGCTTAGCCAGTATGGTGCTCTGTCATGGACGCCTCGTCACAGGACTTGCAGTTGATGCTCAAGTCATCGTTTAGGTGTCTAAGCCTAACACTGCATTCGGTCTTGTACAATGATACAATCACAGAGTTAAAGGAAATGGATCATGCAGTTCATGCTACAATCACACCAAGTTTGACACCAAAGTTTGATACAATGTGTCTTTTCACTGACATGCACAAACAATCATTATTTGGGCCGCAGACTTGGGTATCAAACACATGGTGCATGTCCATGAAACACATGGTGTCAAACTTTGGTGATGATTTATCCCACAACAATTCAGAGTGGTATCATAAAAAGAAACAATTGAAAGTGGGTAAATTGATACACTAAAATCATGCTGAAACTCTGAAAGGGCATCTGGGGACTGGGAATTTACAAACTTTGTAAAAGGGCAGAGGTTAAAGAATGTTGTTTCTCTGATTCATTTTGCAACACCTTTTGATCCATTTCTAAATGTAAATGACATACAGAGTAATATTTAGTAATATGAGAGGGGAAAAAAGGATTACTAAAATTTGATATTTGGTTCGGCAGTCAAAGACCCAAGTTTAGTTTGGAGTTTCAGGCAACAGGGGTGCTGGAAGCATTGTGAGAAATGAAGGTGCATGCAGTTTTTTAGCTTTATAAATGGTACAAATTAGAAATGGTACATATATTTGACTACTTAATATCTAAGCTTTAAAGAAATCTGAGCTTTCTAGATTAGATTGAGCAAACATCCAACCAGTATGGATTCACCGTGCAGTTTCCAATGCTATTGTAGTCTTCTGTGCCCCTGTTTGTTACAGAAGTGAGAAGTCACATAAACAAGATGGTTCTCCCACCCCACCCAACCCCACCCCACTATTTAAGCTTCCCTTATTACCCCCACGCCCCCTCTATTATCATTTTGATGATAACTTTGAGAGAGCTGCAATATATTTATGAAACTGGAATGTACATATGCCTTCCTACTGTTGATATTTGGCTGTGAAATCCACATTTACCCTTTGTTTGGATGGGAAGAGAAAATGAGAGGATTGAAAATAGGAGGAAAGAAAATGGAGAGAAAATGATGAGAAAAAAGTTGGTGTTTGGATTGATAGAAAATGGTAAGAAAATCATGTGAAAAGAGAGAAAAGTTTTCTCATCACCATAGAAGGTGAGAATTTTTCTTTTATGTGGAGTCTATGATTATTTTTTTTCTCTCACTATTTTCTTTGCAAACCAAACATGATAAAATTTATAGAAAATTGTGTTTTGTCACCTAAACTTTTCTTTCTTTCCATTTTCTTACCATAGAAACGCATATATGCTTATATAACCTTCTACGTCTCTTCTGCAGGCAGGCTATTGTTCATCTGTTGCAGATTTCAGTCAGCATGTCATATGAATTTTCGCGCAGTGAAAGCGGAATGTACTGATAAATTGACTTGCAATTGAAACCAAGAGATCTATAGCTTCCTCTGATGGTAGATTTGTCTATGCATTGTATGTATATAAACTCAACTTTAAGTTTGTACCAAGTAATTGGTAACTTATGCAGACCAATCCTACCTTAATAATTTTCAACGAATTGTGTGGTTAATTTTCATTTTATTTAATGTTTTTATATAATGAAGTGTTCTGTTGGGGAAAAAAATGAAAAGATGTGTTCCAAACAAGTCGAGTTTGTCAATTTTTGTTAAGACAACTGATGCATTTTTGTGCCATGGTTGATCTTGAATAAGATTTGAGTAACTTCTGTTTTGAGAAGTTTTTTGACAATAGTAACATGCATTCGTAACATTATGCTCCCTTGTTAAAAAAAATCAACTATTACAAAATCATATAAAAAAACGGAACGGAACACATTAAAATTAATCAAAACATTCAGTAAAAATAAAAAAAATCAACTACAGCGTGGGAATCAAGTTGTAAGTATAGAAATTATTGAGGAACAAATGAGTAATTAATTGGATTTGAAAGTAATACTCCCTCCGGTCTTATAAAACCTTTCATGTTTTGACTTTTTTTAGTTAGACAAAGAAATACTTTGATCATAAAACGTGAGAAAAATAAATTTAATTGGGTTTATCTTAGGATATAGTTTTGATATATCAAATTTTTATATCATTTATCTATTTAGATTGTGTTTAATTTGTGGTAAAAAAGTATCACTAATTGACTAAAAAAGTCAAAATATGGAAGATTTTTGGGATCGGAGGGAGTAATAAAAAAAGTCAAAATATGAAAGATTTTTAGAACCGAAGGGAGTATAATAAAAAAAGTCAAAATATGAGAGATTTTTATGGTGTACCTTGGGTGCATATTATTTTTGTGGACCTTCTCACATAATTTTTTTTTATTAAAAAATAGATACTTATTTAAGTAGTAAAAAAATATTTATTTTGACCTTAGATCCACCATAAAATTTGCGCGATTTTCTTATAGTTTTGATAGTACTGCATTAATTTCTTTCGGCACTTCTGATTTGGAAAATTTGAAAAGGCCATCAACATCTAAATAATTGTACAATACTCCAAATCACATACAAACAAGATAGTTTTCATATATCAAAGGTATAATCATTAAGGCTTGGAGTATTTGATTACACAAACCTTGATTATTACTCTTATCATATTCTCTAAATCAAATAAATAAACATAATTAGCAAATAAATTGGCGTATTTAAATATATTGTTGTTTAGACTATATATGTGTACTCAAATAAATTGGCGTATTTAAAAAATTTCCATCAATTATTTTCAACATTTATCTAAATAGGACCAATCCTATTTACTCTAACCTTTATCTAAATAGGATTGGTCCTATTTAGACTATGTGTAGCAATCTTACCCTTATTCGAAAATTGGTAGTCTATTGACTCTATTCCAAATAAAAGACCTCAGCCCTAACTATTTTGGTTTATGAGTAATTACACAAATGAAACTTAAGCATATCAATTTTATCTATAGAAATCACCCTAAATAGGACTAAAACATAGAGAAAAATATCAAAATAGGATTTTCATGTTTTTTCCCGAAATAGAACTTTGCATTGTGGTAATGTGACTTTGCAATGTTGTAATGTGGCAGTGTACATGTGCATATTACTATGCTTTTTTGGAATGTATATGATCATGTGTGGTAATGTAAGTCGTATTTCGAGAATAAAAACATGAAAGTCCTATTTTGGTATATTTTCAATGTTCTAGTCTTACTTTGGTCTTTCTCCCTATTATCTAAATAGGACTAATCCTATTTACTCTAACGTTTGGCAATTCAAAATTCTAAAATGTCATTCTTTTGAAAAAATGACATATTATACAATTCAAGTAGGATGAGATATTATTTAAAAAAAAATTGAATAATCATTAAAATAATCAATCATTATCCAATACGGGTTGATAATGATGATATACATGATAAATCATGTAGAAATATGTGCCATAAATGAACAAAATATATTTGATCCTATTCAAAAGTTTATAGTGTGAAATTTTGATTTCTAAGTCTAGAATATAGAATTTGTGCCTATTCAATTATAAACAAAGACACGAATAACATGCCTAAAACTAAAATGAGTAAACTCGTCTTGTAGTAAGGACTAGTAGCGAAACAAAGTGACGTAGAACGAAAGCCCTTTTCTATTAATTAGAATTTGTCCTAAAAAACTTATTAGAATTTGGTCTAAAAACTAAAAAGAGGAATAAAGAGTGATTTACCAATAACAATATGGAAACCAAAAGCTTTTAGAAAGTAATCCTTCTTTTCTAAAAAAAATTTATCAGAGTTTAATTTTTTGCATCAAATTATGCAACACTTTTACCATAAATATAATTTTATATAATTAAATGTTATAAAGATTTGATATGTCGAAATTAAAAAGTTTACTCCTTCTGTCCCAAATTAAATTACGTGTTTTATTATTTACAAGATCAAACTTTATTCATTTAATAAAATAGCATAGTCATGTCACTACTAATTTTTTAGATCTTTTGAGGTAATTTTATATATCTAATTTTTATTTCTTAATTCTATGCTGTCTTTCATATAAAATAATTTGAAAATAACGTCAGTTAAACATGGTAAATTGAAACAAGCTATTTAAGTTAGGATGAGAGGAGCAACATTAATCTAAATTTACTAAATTTTTATTATATCTAAATATATTTTTTCATTTAAAATATTACATTGACTAAAAAAATGGAAAATATGGTGTAGGAAATTGATATTCTTAACATCACAAATCTTATCTTCACGCGCAAGAACAATACGCGAGAAGCACGAGCGAAGCGGAGGCGGACAGAGAGGAGCGGTCCAAGGCCAAAGGAATCAACTAACTGCGGCTATTCCCGCCGATCCCGTTCCACCCACGCGCCTCTCCAGCTCGTGCCCCTCCCTCGCTTCAGCGTCCAATTTCGCAGCAGAAACAAGAAAAGTCCCCAACTAACACTCCAAACAAAGCAAACAGCGACGAAAGAGTGGAAGAAAGAAGCTTTTTCCTTTTTTCTTTCTTTCTTCTAAGGACTAATTCTTTGGTTAATCTTCAGAGGAAAACCCCAGATTCTTTCTCCCTTCCCTTTCCTTGAAGCCCTAGTCTTTGTTCTCTTTCCTACCCAGAGGTATTTTCCCGCTTGGATATCACGCCTAATACGCGTTATTCTTTGATTTTGTATCTGTGGAACGTTTCTTGGTCCAGATCTGCGTCTGGGTTTGATGTACTGTGTGTATTGGTGGGTTGTGTTGTAATGTTTGAGTTTTTATGTGGGTGTTTTTTGTGTTTTGCGTTTTCCAGGGAGAATCTTGATTGCGACGAGGTCAAGAAGGGAGTCTGGGGTTTTCTGAGGAATTGGGCAATGCATAAATTCTTGAATATGGAGTTCTGCTTTGAATGCTAAATGTGGGTCTGCTGTTCTTTTTCTTTTATATATTTATATTTTAGCTTTTTTCTTTGTTTTCTTTTCGTGTTCTTGAATTTCCCAGCATTTAACCTGTTGACTTTAGTTTTTGATGCATAAGGAATCTTGTGTATGCTATAAATATCAGGTTTGTTTGTTTGTTTGTTTGAGCTAATATGCAAGTAACATGGTCATGTTTTTCACCTGTTTGATTCTTTCATTCATAAGTAAGTTTGATTTTTTTGTTCCAATTTGAGCTTCAGATATCAAAAGAAAATGTTTCTCATTGTTTTCATTAACATGTTTAATTTGTACCTGTTTGAAAGCCATAGAGAGTTATGTTTGCACAATTGGTATAGGTAGAAGGTCCTACTGTGAGGTTCTTTTGTTTGCCGAGTTTAGATCCAAGGCAACACTTCAAGATCATAACTAGATGAAGGTCTCATAATGAGCATTACATGCACCATTCGAGTTCACTGTAATCCAGATATGAGAAGATACGGAGTACAAAAAGAGTTATATCTTAGTCACTCTTTAAGAAGTTTCTTATTTTCTTCCGTGTAAGCCACCTGTGTTTGTTCACTTCGTTGGCAATGGGTTGTGGTGGTACATTTTACGTTACATAGGATATATGCATTGTACATAGGGGTATATGCACACCTTTAAATCCTAATTGGCCTTGTCAGGCGTTCTAAAAAATTTGATGTTTGGTACGGGTGGTCTAATACTTTATATTGAAAGAACCACAAACATTTATTTAATCTTGCAGGGAGGGCGAAACCTGCAATTTTGTCTGCCTTTGACGTCTCTGATCGGGAAAATAGGTTTCTGTTATAGGTAGGAGGTTTCATTGTTTTGTTGTATCATATAAGATGGACATGTTTCACTTTATGCAACTTGGAAGCATCTCTTGCTTATTGAGCTTGAACTTTGACATTACTAAAGATCCTCTTACCCTGCACTGAGTTGTTCATTGGACTTCTGTACAAGTGTTGTACATTTAAAACTGGTTTAATGCAATTTGGGCTGTGTATAGATCGCTCCTTGAGATCCTTTAATGAATTGGAAGCGTGCAGATTTTAAGACATCTATCTGCTTAAAATATAAGCAAAAAAAGTTTATTCTTCTCTAATTTTATCCAATTATTTTAGATTCTCGTGCTAGGATACCCTTGAACAATCTTAGCACTAACCTTGCAATCATTCTCTTGCAATAAAGGTTTGAGTCCCTTGTTGCTTTACTACCATCTTCAGTTTCCTTTGTTTAATTGTTCGTACATGTAACTGGAATATAGTATACATGTTATCGTTTGACAAAATTTGAACATAAGAAATCAACTAAGATTTACAGCATATATGGCTTGAGAGTGATGCTTCTCTCCTGGTTTTGAAGGTTTTCTTGTAGATGGTTTTAGAAGAAAGGAGATTAAACCAACTATTTTCTTGCTTTATGGCATTAAGTGGCTTAACATCAGGTAGGTTTTAGGGCAACGTATGAGACATGCAAGGTCCTTGAATATATGATTAGCAGTTTCTTCCTGTGGATAATAAACAAACTTTAGATCGTGGACATTTGTTTGTAGGAACTACATTTTCCTAAAGTAAGCTTGTATTAATTTCATCCCTATTTTGTTTGAATTTTCATTAGAAGAGGAAATGTGATATTAAATTTCTCTGCGCATCATTGCCCTTTTGCCAAATATGAAATTAAAGTTGGACATGCATGCTATGTAAAGCCTATTTGTTCTATTTAGAAGTTCACCTGCATGAATCCTAAACAGCATTTGGTTCAAGGCTTGGAGTGTAAGTTCAGAGTATTGAAACTATCCCATTCTAGCATTTTCACTTTTACATTTATTATGTGAACCATGTTTGGCTCTTGTAAGCAGTGTAATTTTTTTGAAGTATCTCTCCTTTCCTTTTAGGGATGATTTTTTAGCATTAACTATGAGGTGTAATGAAAGGGGTTTTTGTGAAATAAAGTTATACTCCGTATTATCTTTCGCGTCATTGGATCTCACCATTAGGCTTCTTTTTCTGGATCGTATTTCAATTACTTTGGCCCAATATTATTAGAGTATTAGGAATTTTGGATCTAACCTAACAAGATTTATAGATAAGTACTCAGCTATATATATGTATATATATCCAAGAACTGATGCACAGATTTTTATGACGGCCACTCTGTAGGCTCATACACAAATGCTTGAATTGATATCCAGAGCACAAATATTTCTAGATCTTCAACTATCCTTCAAATCTCATTGACGGATGTTCTTCTACTGCTCGTTTTTTTGTTAATCTGCTCATAATACATTCTATTGATCCTCAAGCTTATTAATGTTGATTTGCCTTTGGTAAGTTTCCCAAATTACGTAATGAAATAATTATTCTGCACTCATTTTTTGAAATAAAAGACCTTCATGGTATCTTATTTTTCCATAGATCTTAAATTATTGAAAATCCATTCGAGATCTTTGATTTTTAATCTGTGTATTAGCAAACTGTGCATCCTGGTGATTTTGATTTCTATAGAAATGATCGATCTCTTTAGATAAGGATTTCTATAGAAATGATCTGTTTCTTTAGATAAGTCACGAGTATCGTCCATATAGGTTTGTGCATTGAATCTGTATTCAGTGTTTTGTGTATTTTAACAAATTCAATTGTATTTTCATCATGATTGATTAATGTAGTTCTCGTATTTTTCACCATATGTTGATTGCTTTTAGTTGAAATGTTCAATCACAAGTAAATAGATCAACTGACATGTTTTTCAATGGATTTAGGTGTTCCGAGTCTTTTGGCTAGAAAAAACATGTCTCAACTTGTACTCCAATTCCATATTCATGCCGGGAACTGCTGATATTTTGCGGCAGAAAAGATCTTCCTCACAGTAAGAAGTAGAGACTTGAGATTGGGCTCCATCAAGGGGTAAAATGTCTGAGCAACCACCTAAGCTAAGCAAGAGAACAAATAAGGGACATGAACACAAGAAATCATCTTCTAGTCCCAAGGACAGTCTTTCAAAAAAGCAGCAGAGGAAAGGAGAAAATCCTGTCCGAATACCACTAGCTACTGAGCAGTGTTCAGATTTCAAATGTTCAAGCTCATGGATCTGCAAGAATTCTGCTTGTCGAGCCACTATTCCAATAGATGACACATTCTGCAAGAGGTGCTCTTGCTGTATATGTCACCTATTTGATGACAATAAGGATCCTAGTCTTTGGTTAGAGTGTGCTTCAGAGACTGGTCATGGAGAATCTTGTGGTTTAACTTGCCACATCGAGTGTGCCATCCAACGAGGGAAGGTAGGCGTTGTTAATCTTGGACAACTAATGCAGCTAGATGGGAGCTATTGTTGTGCTTCTTGCGGTAAAGTTTCTGGAATTCTGGGGTATGCCCTTTATTCTAAGGCTCTTTTTTTACTGATAGAAGGTTTCAGTTTGGGAATTACTTCAATAGTTCATTTATATATGGTTTTATTTGACAGGTATTGGAAGAAGCAACTTAGCATAGCAAAAGATGCTCGTCGCGTCGATATTCTTTGTTATAGAATACACTTGTGTTACAGGCTCTTCGACGGGACTTGTAGGTTTGGAGAGCTACACGAAATAATTAAAGATGCCAAGGCGAAATTGGAAACCGAAGTGGGCCCACTGAATGGAGTTTCAGCTAAGATGGCTCGCGGGATTGTTAGCAGACTCCCTGTTGCAGTTGATGTGCAATTGCTCTGCTCTCTAGCTATTGAGAAAGCAGATGAATTCCTAGCTGCAAAGTCCTGTGCTGCCCCTAATCTTGGAGGTATTGCTTATATCTAGTTAAACCGGTATCCAGGAATTAATGGTATAATTTTGTATCTTTGGTACAAATTCATGTAAAAAAAGGTGATAGAATCTTGGGTCTAGGGTACCTAGACCAAGACTCCATTGTAGAGAAAGAATGAAGAAATCATGAATGGAGAAGAAGAATGGAGTGGGTGTAGTGATGAAATTGTGTTGTGTCTCTCCCTCTCCCTCCTCAAGAGAGGTATAAATAAGGGGATAGTAAGGTTAGTGTTTAGGCCCAATCCATATACAAAAACTAATGGGCTGGCCCGACAGACAGGGCCACCCATATAACTAATCAGTAGACGACTAGTGGGCCAGTCTGTTGGACTGGACCGTCCCAACCAACACTATGCAAAAGGTGAACTATATTTATGACTTCTTCTTCTTTTCATGTTATGGTAAACCCTTTTCAGAGTGCTCACTGCCAGCAGCATGCAAATTCCTTTTTGAGGAAGTGACATCATCTTCAGTCGTGATAGTGCTCATAGAGCTATCCGCAGAAGATGTGAAAGGCTACAAGCTCTGGTACTGTAGGAACCGAGAAGACGCTTATACAAAAGAGCCTGTTTGTGTCTTCCCAAGAAGCCAGAGACGAATTTTGATCTCCAATTTGCTTCCCTGCACAGAATACTGCTTCAGGATAGTGTCCTATGCAGAGGCTGGTGATTTGGGACACTCTGAGGCTAAGTGTTTCACAAAGAGTGTTGAGATATTTAGCAGAACTTCAAGCGAAGTCGCCCGTAATCAGATTGTGAAACATAATTCAGATACTGGAGGAAGCAGCTCTTCTGCTGCTGCTGCTGGGACAGTGGTGGAGTCAGATTCTGGGTTTAAGGTCCGTGACCTTGGGAGAATTTTAAGGCTAGCTTGGGCTCAACAGAAAGGGTGCTGTTCATCATCAGAAATAGAAATGTTATGTGGCATTGCTGACACTAATAACAATAAGGCAGCAAATGGTGGCATACAAAAAGACCAAAAACCCCCTGCTTCACGCCAGCTTGACTTGAATGTTGCTTCGGTTCCCGATTTGAACGAAGAGTTGACCCCTCCCGTTGACTCTTCTAGGGACGAAGTTGAGGAAGAAGACAATGGGAGTGATGAAGATGACTCCCTAAATTGGAACAAGAAGAAGAAGAAGAAGAAGAGAGGTCATGGAAACAATGGCGGAGAAACACATGACTCTGATAGCACACTTATAAATGATGGGTCCCCAACCAAATCGCGCAATGGATGCTTTGATGAGAACTTTGAATACTGCGTGAAGATCATTCGCTGGTTGGAATGTGAGGGCTACATTGAAAAGGACTTCAGGTTAAAGTTGCTAACTTGGTTTAGTTTGAGATCAACTGAACAGGAAAGACGGGTTGTCAACACCTTCATTCAAACACTAATGGATGATCCCATTAGCTTAGCTGGCCAGCTGGTCGATTCTTTCTCAGACATGGTTTCCAACAAGAGGGCCCGAAACAGCTTTTGCACTAGGCTCTGGCATTAGAGGACTTCCTTTAACATTGTTTCTGACAAGCCGTCCATTGTTACGTATATGCAGAAAATCTTTCCCATTCACTTCTCTCTCACTGTCAGTACAGAAGGCAAGTTGGTAGTGGGATGGATGCACGCAGACATCATTGTGTCTAGATTCAAGAAAAAAAGAGGCTTACATTTGTTTGTTGTGGAAACCAGATTTCTGTCTTGTTTTCTGAATGTTGTTAATTGATTCAGAAAGTAGTAGCTAGGTTTATTTAAAACAAGCTCATTTGGATGATACAACATTGTTTTCATTTGCTGCTGGCTCTATCTCTTGTGTTCATAATTTTCACATGCCCAATCTTGCATTTTCAGTTCCCAGGCAGTCTGTTTGGGGGAAGTTGGAAGTTTTTTTTTTAAATTTCTAGTTAGTTTTATGATTTCAAATGTACTTCATCTCTGCCAATTTAATTTGTCTACTTGATTTTTTGCTGTATTCAATGTAATATTTTGACTTTTGATAATAAATATATGATGTTTTAACTATCTTAAATTGGATTTAAAATTACATTATACGGAGTAACATATTGTACTATGGAAGCATGTTGCTGTAGTGACGAGAAAGCCACTCTAAAGTACTCCATATCTTGTGTTCGAGTCCCACATCGTGTTGAACACAGCCTATACTTTAGGGTGCAACGTAGGGTTCTCATGTTATGGAGTTTTATTAACTTTAGATAAATCTTGGAATAAATCATGAATCTTGAAATAGATAAGTCATAATCCAATCTTTTCTTTAAGTAGCTGAGGTAACTCTTCATAGAATTTATTAATTTCAAATTCTGCTAATAATCTTCTTTTGCTTCATTTTCTCAATCTTTGCTTGCATCTTGAATTCATTAACCTTCAAATACATCACGAAATTTTCTTAAACTACTCTGAAAAATTGTACTTTAACAAATTTGTATTGAGATTGCTAGGGTGGAGGTATACACACCCTTTATACGTATTACCTTTTTATTACATCATCTCTCTTTTTCACATCAACACCACATCAGATTTTACTTATTTCATGTTTTTTTACTACAAGTGAGAGTGTACATACGCCATTTTGACAACTTACTACAATCATTTTTAAGCAATTAACTTAAACTAATAATACAAATTAATTTTAAATAGTTTAAAAATATTTTATTTTTAAATACTTAATTTTAAGTACATTAATTAATATAATGTCCAGATATTTAATTAACACGATAACAAAATGATTACATTTTATCGATCTAAACAAAATCACAATACTAAATAAAAGAAAATACCAGTCCAAAATATCACAAAAAATAATAATAGGAAAAAATATGATAGTAATATTAAATGTGGTTTTATAAATTCTTCTATTTTGAAGATGTAATAATGTGTTATATATATGGGTGATTATAATTTGTCAATTTTTAATGAAAAGGTCAAAAAATTGATGATTCAGTATGTTCGATAAGAGGTACACCGTACACCTTCATGCCAGTTTGTTTGGTACCAAAAGGGAAAGTGTGATTTTACCATTCTAGACCGTCCATCCTCGTACAAAGTACGAACTTATTCTCTTCGTCTGATCGAATTGAATTTAATCTCATTTTATCGAGGTCTGATTTGACCTAATCTGGTCTAATCTAATTATAGTTATATTTAAAGTTATTTCTGATTTGATCTGATTGAATCAGATTCGAGTAAGAATAAATAATAAGAATATGTTGAAGAGATCAGTCGCTAAATAACATTATTTCTTGAAGTATTAATCAATAATGTAAGGCACATAAAGAGTGTAAACTTTAAGGATATATTAAGAAAAACACTACACTTCCTCTGCCGCCGTTAAGGCGTCAACATCACTCCTACACCGCTGGTTGGCGGTTGCCACCTTCGACACCTCCTCCGCCGCTAGCTGCCTCCTGCCATTGTCCAGCACCGCCACTGCCTACTACCCTCGAGCACCGCTATCTACTACGGGAAAACCAATAACACATCACAACACCCAATCAATTTTAAAGTTTTTTTTTAAACGAAGGCAATATTAAAAAAAAAGACTTCCAAGACATTTCAAAACTTCCTTCGTCTGGAATTAATAGTCCACATTCTAAAAAAATAGTCTTTCAAGTGTCAAATAAACTCTTCCAATGACTTTGTACTCATTCATTTCAACAAGGTTCACATCCTATCTCTACAATAGTTTAAACAATTCATCATAATTTCTTTATTGAATATAAAAGTGCACAACTAATTCCACACAAACCAAATGAAAAAATTGGACAAGTACTTATGGACGGAGGGAGTAATTTTTTAGACGACATGATCATTATTACTACGAATCAATCACAATTTATAGTCTTATCGTATATGCGCTTTTTTATTCCGCTCATTTTTCGTGTAAAAAATGCACATTTTGATATAATCGATGCTCATTTTGCTTCTAGCAAATACTCATATTTCATGCGTTGAATGCCACCTTCCACACCTACTAATCTATAGATTATCTATATGTAACTCCATCTTTTTTTCGATAGCTTATTGGAATTTGGAATTACCAGGTAAAGATGAAAAAACAGGTTTCTCAGGAGCAATCTCCACTTCTCAAGCTTTGAAGTAGCTTTAAGTATCCAAGTTCTTCAGGCTTAACATACCTGCATGTATCAATTTTAATGTCAGAAAAACGTACAATAAGTTAACGCTGACATCGGGTTGGAGTGGCTTGGCCCAAATGGCGGTTAGCTTCAGGGGTGTTGTGTGATCCGAAGATTTCGCATAGAATGAAAGGTAAGTTCTATCGATCCGTAGTCAGACCTGCTATGTTATATGGGGCAGAGTGTTGGGCGGTTAAGAAGACTCATGTGCGTCGTCTGCATGCGGCGGAGATGCGGATGTTACGATGGATGTGCGGGAAGACAAGGTTGGATAGGATTTCGAATGAGGTTATCCGACGTCAAGTAGGTATGGCACCGGTGGAAGACAAGTTGCGAGAAGCGAGGTTGAAGTAGTTTGGCCATGTGAGACGGCGGGATGCTGACGCCCCTGTACGGAGATGCGAGAGGATTACGGTTATCGGGGGAAGTAGGGGAAGGGGTAGACCTAAGAAGAATTGGGAGGAGGTGATAAGACAGGATTTAGGACTTCTCGAC